ATATGTTATTACGTTTTTCCCGTTTTTTATTTTACTTAGTCATGTTGTAGGGAGTTACGGGAACATTAGATCGTTTATGAAACGGAACAAATCCTTGTCTTTATAAGGACTAAAGGAAAAAAGCCAAAATTTGTACACTTGAAGAGAGTTGTTGTTGGGCAACACGTATATGAGCAACATAAAGCCATTGTCAATATTACAGAAAAGGGCAGTACGAATAATTCATAAAGCTGACTCAAGAGAACACACCTACAGACTGTTTTTTAAGTCAGGACTCTTAACTCAAAGACATAGCTGAGCTGCAGACATTATCAGTAATGCACAGGGCAAAAAGCAGAATGTTACCAGCATATTTACAACAGTTGTTTTTTTTTGGATCAGACAAGGAAGACCACAAAAGGAAATTAAATTTTAAGCATCCATATGCAAGGACTACTCTTAAACAAATGTGTATTTCGGTGGTTGGTGTACAATTGTGGAATTCTCAACAAAAGGATCTAAAGAATTGTATTTGTATTTTTCAGTTAAAGAAGTTGTATAAATTAAGAAAGATGGGACTATATGAAGCAAAATGTGAATAAGTCTATGTACTCTGGTCCTTCATGTTTTTGATGTCTTTGATGTGATGATGACTCTGTATTTGCGGGTCCCATTGCCATCGTTGTTATTTGTTATTGTTATTATTATCATCATGCGTCACTTTCCACCTTCTTCTCCAGTAGGACTCAGATGAGGGTGTTGCACTTTCTTTTCTTTTCTTTTCCTTATACATGTTATGTTTTGGTGTTGTTTTGTTTCTTTCCGTTAACCGTTAAGTGGGAAATAAGTATTTTTTTTGTGTTTCTCTTAGTATCCTAAGATACTGTTATGTTTGGCTGTGAAAAAGAAAAAAAAAAAAAATTATTATTATGAAGGGCAGACCATCTATTTGTATTTATTAGTTTGTTTTAGAAAGGGGCAGGTCACATAAGATTTTATTCTTCTCCCTGCTCCTTTTCGCTCAATGTTGTTTTGGTAGTCATGTTTTGTGGCAATTATTGTATATTTGGTTTTGCATACCATGAGCGGGACAAATAAAAATGAAATGAAATGATTTTTGAATGGATGTCAAATCCATGGTTTTTGTATCATAATGTGACATCAAGAGGGGCTACACACACATGCATTAGTCATTGCTGTAAGCCCCAATACGTTAATACACATGACTCTGAATTGAGCTATAGGAATTGTACTTGTACTTCTATAATCTACACTGCAGTATATTACATTTTAGAAGATGTAAGTACTTTTTCGAGCACTGTTTTGGGTAAATCCTTCCACCTGTAATATCATGTAATACCGCTCCGAGGCGCTAGGTGTGCTCGATCGCCCACACGAGTTTCCTCTCCTTGTGGTGCTTCATTTGTTTTCCTAATATTAAACACCCATCTATGCTGTGACCAGGTTATATGAGTGTACAGCTAGCTAGTCGGCTATTTCGCTTATCTTTCCACACCATGGTGGCACATCTTTGTGGGGGTTTCCTATAAACGTCGCTCCTCTTTCGCCTTGGGACACAAAGCTAACACGGAGGTTGTTGTATTGTCCTGAAGCCACGCTGTGCCACCATCAGTTCCTCCTGCCAGGTAAGGGAGGTGCATTAAAGGTGCGTCATAAAATGCATTTCCAAGGAAAAGTTGCCAAACAAGCTCGATAGAAAAGGAAGAGTTAGAAAAAAGGACGCAAACCTCGAGTTTCAGCGGCAGATGTAGTCGCTCGACAGGTAAGGGGGACATTACCTGAACATATTATGTCTTAAACGTTAACCTATAATTGTGAATGCTCATTAAACTCTTTTCTGATCAATTTCCCTTCGTGCTTCCTCAGCCAGCAGTCATGTCCATTGAATACACCATAGATATCCAGCTAACAGAGTTGGGATATTCGGACATCTTACAGCCGGGGACCACTTCTGATGGAGAGACACCCAGTCAGTCTCCCCCCTCACTTTCAACCACACACCTACAAAGACTTGACCATCCTGCAGACCTTCCACAGCTCATAACTGATCAGCCTGACACTAGGGAGAAAGATGTCGAAGGAGGAAACACTACACACAATCATTCAACAGAAATGCAGCAGGACGGGGAGGACGACTCTGATGACAGCGATGTGTATGAGGAAGAAGAGGTCGATGAAGACGATGAGGAGGAGGATGATGATGATGATGATGAGGAGGAACTAAACAATGGTATGACTCATTCCCTTTTGACACACAACATAAAGTAGTAATGTATTGTTTAGAGTCTGTCTTAAACAATAATGATATTGCTGATATGGTTTTTGTCTCATGATAAAATTCAATTTTTTGACATCCAAAAGAACCACACTTTTGCACTGGGTGATTATTTTGACGTAGCACTGTCCCGTAGTGGTAAATGTTTACTAGAACTCCACATTTGTCTTATCAAACTGCTGAAAATAGACCCACAACAAATGTGTACTGCCGTTTAAGTAGCACAAATACAGTGCCGGGCTGTGACCTGTTTTAAAAATGTGTACCGCAGGATATAAGATATAATGGGCTTGGGGCTGAGTGAAACAGCAGGGTGGGAGATCTGAAACAGGTTCAGGTGTCTTCATAGCATTTCTTAGCAAAAATATAGCTGGTATTCATTTCCAATTTTTCCACAGAGTCGGGTCTTTCAGGGGAGTACAGCTGCAGTGTCTGTGATCTCCAGCTGTCCTCCAAATTCAAGCTCCAGGACCACATGAATCTGCACACAGGAGCTCGGCCATACTGCTGTGCTGAATGTGGGAAGCGTTTCTGCCAGAAAAAAAGCTACCGAGTCCACCTGCGTACGCATGCCCAGGCCAAGGTGGATGTTCTCCAGTGCCGTGTGTGTCTGAAATGTTTTCTCTCACCGAAAGACTTGAAAGACCACCTGTCCAGAACTCACTTTGAGAACGAGTTTTACGAGTGTGACCTTTGTAAACGTGTGTTCACTTCTCTGAAGGCGTGTAAAAATCACGTTATGTTACACAAATCTAAGCAGGATGTTGTATGTGAGGTATGTGGCCGCAATTTTAACTCTCCAAAATCTCTCGCGCGCCATCAGAGAACAACCTGCCATCACAATTTTAAATGCACAGACTGCACAAAGACCTTTACTAAGAAGAACGCTCTCCTGAAGCACAGCTTCTCCCATCTGGGCTTGTTGCCTTACACCTGCGTAAGATGCCACTGCCACTTCCGCCTGGCAAAGCTTTACCGCCAACACAAATGTGAACCTGAACGCCTTCACTGTGTGGCGTGTCTGAGAGAGTTCCCCAGTCAGGAGGCCTTCAAGCAGCACAAAAAGGACACGGGCTGCTGGGGCAACCAGGAGCCTAAAGGGGACGAGATCCGATGTCTGGAGTGCGGGCAGAGATTCGACACTTCTGAAGAGCTGAAGAAACATGCCGGGGCTCACCAGAGGGTGCTGAAGTGTGCTGAATGTGGAAAGGGTTTCCGCTCGGCCTTACTGTTGATGTCCCACATGGGGGGTCATGCCGGAAAGTCGCCATGCCTTTGTCAGAGCTGCGGAGTGGGCTTTCCCCACCAGCAGAACTACGACAGCCACCTCAAGACCTGTGGAAAAACACCCCAGCCTGCGGTGAGTTCAGGGCACTATGTTGATGTACAGTATCATTTCAAAGCAGCAATATCTGACAGTCTATTAAATGCAGATCATATAATACACTAATACATGAAATGAGTTGTATTAATATAATACACCACTGGATGACAACTTTACACAGACATGTTCCACTGTCCTCTCTGGTAAAAAGATTCAAATCCATTGTGCTTGTTTTCAGCTTCATTATCAACATTACATTATTGTCATCTAGTTTTGTAGCCAAAAAGGCAGGGGACATACATTTAATTGTGGAAGCGTTCTAAAAACATCGATATCAAAGAGATGATATGCCAGTTCCTGTTAAATTGTAATTGAAACCCACCACAAGCATGGGTTATTATGGGTCTCTCCAGGTTGATTATACCGCCACGTGACACTTGTGTTTTGCATAATTTATTGAGTAACTGGGATGTTTTGTTGTGTTTCTCATTTTAGAGTGCTCCCAAGAAGCGGCCGGCTTCAAAGAGCTCCTCGTCGGATTCAAAAATGGTTGTTGCAAAACCAGAGTCAAAGAAGCCAAAAAACCCAGAAACAAAGCCCACTGTCGTTTTAAACAACCCCGCTGAACCAGTGAAGCATTCTGGGAGTCCAGGACCTTTGACTGGTGTGTCTGGTGGCTCTGTTCCATCTGACGGTTTATGGAAGCTCACCCTAGACAAACAGCCGCCTCCTGGCGTCAATCTCGTTGTGTTTCTTCCTGTCTGTGCGTCTCAAACCACCGGCCTCAACCTCCCGTCTGCATCCTCTCCTACACTACCGGTTCTAGCTCTGCAGGGCCAGCCTCAAGAAGCTCTACTGCATACCTCCGGAGTGCCGCTAAATGGCCATCTGAATTTGGATAATGGGATCAATCCCGAGTGTGAAGCACCTCTGGATTTGTCCAAGAAGTGTAACTCTTCCAAGTCAGCTCCGAGCAACATATCTCTTCTTCCTAAAAGGGAGCCAGGAGAATGGGACACTACAGGAGAGGCTAATGGCACTGAAACAAAAGAATTAAAAAATAGTTACAGCAAAGCAATTGTTAAGACAAACCCAGAAGAGAAATATTCAGAAGTGAAGCAGTTTAAAATTGATCCTATGGATCTCTCCAGTTTTGAGGTGAATACAACATCCTCTAGACTTATAATAGACATAAAGAAAGAGCCCCAATCTCCTGGTCCTGATCGAGATCCAAAATCATCCACATCTTGTCAGCTGACTGAGAAAGAAATTAAGATGGAGGTTGATATTTGAAACTATGCTGATGTAGAGAAATTTGACATTTTGGTAGGGGAAAAATAAAAGAGTTGTCACATATCCTACTGGAGGGTGTGTTTGAATTCTGCAACAGACTGCTGTACCTGTGGCCCTGCAAACCAAACATGGAGGTGTTATGCTAACATTGTATGCTTTTCTGTCTAATCCCCTTTTCTACCATCCAAGCCCCTTTTCTTACCTTATCAACCTTGTATGCAAAAGCATTTTTTGTCATATTCTTTCACTATTGGTGTGTTTCTAATGCGGGACCTTAGAAAAATAGATATTTTAGTTTATTTATAATTAATAAAAAACATTCCAAACGCCTGCCTCTTCTGGCATTCCTTTTATTTGAATTTCCATATGAAGCTTTTCCCTTAGGCCAACAGAGCAAAAGGGTACTGTAGCTGTTCTGAAGCCTATGCAATGTAAACACTTCCAAATTCTACCTTTTTTTCATACTTGTTTTTGTGTGAGAAATCCTTAGGATAATGAATGTGTGTATAGTTGAAAGAAAAGACACAGGATTTTTTTAGTATAAAAAAACATTTCTTTATATAGACAGTGTAATATTTAAGGAATGCAGCAATGGTACTGATCAATGCTTTTCTGTCACTTTGTCATTTGCTGAAACTTTACAGCCTGCAGGTATCTTTTCATGTTTATCTGAAGACAAATAAACAGTCGTCCTTGATGCAACATCAGTGTGTTCTTAATCCAAAAAGACATCCTTGTGTCTCTCATTAAACAGGAAGACAGCTGTACATCCACAGCGTCAGGTAAGTCTTTTACTATGGCTCACCTTTATCTTGAATATTTTATCTTCAACCTAGATAGAGATTGAGACTAGGCAAACACAAATTCAAAACGTATCTTTTTGAAACTTTTAGAGCTCTGTAGTTTTTTCCGGATATTTGAGAGGTGTAGTCTATTTCAATTTCATTAGTGAGTATTATGATGATGCTAGAACACTGATGATAAAATAACTTCCTTTAAACATAACAATTAAACTGAGAAAAAAAGATTTAGTATAACTTTTCTATTGGAATAACTACAAGGATTAAAGACTATCATTCCATTGCCTGACACATGTTTTCTTTTTGTTCTCGCACAACAAACTTGATTATTGACAAATATTTTTGACATATCTGTCTGCGGATTTTAGTTTTATCATATCTAAAAAATAAACAAGTTTACCTCGATGGTTTTGCCAATTGCCATACTCATAGATGCTAACCGGTGGATCTAAATTCCTCATTCCTGTTTCATCTTACCTGTAATACTTAAAAACATTTTTAAAAAAAATGTTATTGGAATAACAATTTATTTGGTAGTTTGATCTATTGTGATTAAATACCTTCATGCTTAATATTATTAATAATATATTAAATATTCAATCAGTGTTTATTTTGTCTCGTGAACATTTATTGTTTAATACAAAAATGGAAAGACTCCAACTCGTGTCACATGATTAAAGAACCCGGATATACAAAGTCTGCTGCCGAGTGAAGCGATGTTTGTAACGGTGATTTTAACGGGAGGAGGCTACGGTAGATAAGTTATATGAAAACAGAAGTGCATTTTATTAGGCCTTCATTGAACCTCAGTGTGTGATATATGGAAATCGTTGTTTTAAGCTAAGCTGTACATCCGAGGACGACAACGCCGTTTGTTTATATTCATGGGCAAATGAATAATAAGTGTAGCGACATTGTAAGTAGACCCCGTCAGTCCATTTGAGAGGAACTTGTGTTTCAGCTAAAGTTAAGCAACATATACATCTTTGTCAATGCACAATCAGTTGTACTTTTGGTTATCTATACACTAAATGTATCTGTTTTATTTGTTCTATGTCCTATATTCATGTTGCACTGTTGGATGAGCCTGTGACTTAAGTTTTTCATTGCCATATCTACACTGTAGCTAATATGCACATGACAATAAAGCCTTGAATCTTGAAAATGCATTCAGACTCTCAGCTGTGCCTTGTACTTCTTGCAGCGTGCTCCGTGCTCCTGGATGGAGATGCATCAGTTCATTGGTGACCTTATCACATCTGGAAACTCCTTGAAGGATCAACCAGATGTGCTTACCACAGCATGGGGCGTTGCTGCTGCAACTGCTGGTGGAGGTGGAGGTGAGGGTCTGCGGTTCAAAGATGCTTCACTTGTACCTCCACAACAACCTCCATCTGCCCGGGACAAGTCAGAATCAGAGCCCAGCAGACAGCTCCAGTCTGGGGCATCACAGAGGAAGATAGAGCCGGCCAAAGACAGAAGAGAAGGTAAGAGCTCAAAATGATGGTTTCTATAATGTTCTTGCGTTTCTTATATTGTAATTCATATTTCTTTATTCGTCCAGATGTGCGTAACACATGCAACTGTCCTGGCTGCCCTTACTCCACTTCTCCTTCTTCCTCTGATACTTTAAAACCTGGACAATCCATGTCCTCACCCCCACGCTCTAATGCAGTATGCCCCCCCAAAGACCTCCGCAGGACTGCTCCAATGAGCCTCAGCAGTGAACCCAGCAGCACCACACCTGATCTGGAGACCAGGGGGTCCAGCCGGCCACAGGCGGTGGGGGCAGACACTCACAGCCCAGACCAGACTCCTCCTTCCAGAGGGTCTTTGGGCCCCGTGTCCCACCCCTCCTTGTTTCCCTGCTTGTGTTGCCATCGCCCGCAAACCTGTACCCACATACTGAGCCACCAGGAAGGCACTGACTCCCGTTTTCCTCACAGCTATCATCCCATTCATATTACATCTTGTTTACCTTGCCCTCAGCTCTCCGGCCCCTTCCCCTGCTTGCCTTGCCAGTGCTCTTCCCCCCCCTGCCCCCACCAGCACAGACAAACACACACTCAGCAACAAGAAGAAATAGGACGGGCGCCTACAAGCATGTTGTCGCTGCATCCCTGCATGCACTGCTCTGCCTCTTTCTCCAGACCGTCCCAGTTGCTGCAGCACCAGCGCTCTGACCACGCCCACAAACAATCCGGTTTCCTCTGCACAGAGTGTGGCAGAGCCTTCAACTCCCACAGCAATCTCCGCATCCACCTCAACGTGCACACGGGCGCCCGGCCATACTCCTGCTCGGACTGCGGGAAGAGTTTTAGCCAGTCGGGGGCTCTGAAGATCCACAGGCGGATTCACACAGGCGAAAGGCCGTATTCCTGTGGGTTTTGTAGCAGGGGGTTTCCCCATCTTGCAGGGTTCCGGGCCCATCAGAGGACACACACAGGAGAGAAGCCTTACTGCTGTAGCCAGTGCGGGAAATGTTTCACCCAGTCAGGAGCTCTTAAGACCCATATGCGCATCCACACAGGGGAGAGACCCTTCATCTGCAGCTTCTGTGGCAAAGGCTTCTCCAACCGCTCCGGGATCCGCTTCCACCACCGCACAGTCCACGGGCTGGCCCCCCAACACGGAGGAGCTGGAGATGTAGATCGAGGTCCAGCAGGTCGCAGTTGTCAACCTGGGCGCCCCAGGACTTTTCCTGGGCTAAATACACCCAACAGTCTGAATACAAACTCACAAACAAATCCCATTGAATGTCCTGTTTCTGCCGCTGCTCATCCTGGTAATGAGAGCAAATCTCAGTCAGGGGAAACAATCCCAGGCACCACTAGAGGGGGGCTTCTGTACACATGTGAAGACTGTGGCCTGCGCTTTAAGGACGCCCCGTCCAGGAACAGACACCAGACTCTAATGCATTACTCCTCTGAAGGGAGGGAGGAGGAGGGACGGGGGGTAGAGATGAGCACAAACAAGAGGTTCCCTAACAGTGGTACATTACAACAGGCGAACAACATCCAACCATTAGAGTAAATAGTTCTTAAAAACAAGTGTTGGATTTATGTTTGCGATATAGTTAAGTATCGCACTTTTACATTTGAAAAGTCTTTGTTATATATAGCACTACATCTCTTTTTCAGACCTAAATTAAGATGTTTAATTTCATTTGTAAAACCAAAACTGATTGAATCAAATATTTTGTAGATCTTAAATTCAGAAGTTCAATTATCTTGTTCGAACCTTAAACCGTTGGATCCCATTGGAGGTATCCAGCTGCTTGTTTCATGTCTATTTTTAAAATAACCTTGATACTGTAATCACACACCAGGTCAACTACGGAAATGTTTTTCCCCTTAACACAGTTTTATTTGTATTGTGCCTTATTCAGCAGTGGTAGAGGTAAGCCAATTCATTACTAAATGTGACAGCGCAAAACATGTAAAAGAATTTCAAAAGAATTATATAACATAGGAGGTTCTTTTATTTACATTTTCACATATAATGGCGAACTTCCACGCTCCCCTTACCCTTATTATATAAAAACCCTTTGGATAGGAATAAGGACACATTTCTATCTTCTTCTTTTTCACTAAGAGTGCACAACAGCGTTGACATATCGGTTTATTTAAATGTTCCTGAGTAATTCTATCTGTTTAAGGCCTTTGTTTTCCTTTGAACACATCTTGGCATCATGGCGTAGACAATGAAAGCAGGAAGCACAGAGTTAAGTCAGATGAAATTACTGTAGTGACAAAAAACAAGGCCACATATTGGAACTGTTTATGTTAAGGTTGTGTGTCTTGCATAAGGACACAGGGTTGTTGTGCCTTTCTGTGTTATACTAAAAGCATTTATTTAAAAAAAGAATATGTTTGTTACTATTTATTTTTATAAATGGAGGACAAATATCTGAGGAGTGAGAAAAGGTGGATGAGTAAAACAACTCATTACTGTTTAAAGCTCAAGGGAGCCCTCTAGTGGTTATTCTTCATCATAGCAACAATATGAACCACTGTTAGTGTTCCATTTACAGTGCTTCTTAAATGTTGTTTCTTTTGCAAAACATGTACAAATCATACATTGTGAATACAATGTTTAGTGAGAACAAGTAACATAATCAATTCACTCTGTTTGCATGAACCTGTTGAACACACTGAGGCAGACATTGCTGTATGTGTTTTCTGAAAGTGCAGCTTGTGATTAAACATTTCAATATCTCTGAGTGCGACGCCACTGAGCCTGCGTTTTCTTTGTGCATCACGGTATACTTCCGCAACATACTTCCAGGAAGGAAATATTTGTTTGCATATGGTTCTCAGATCTTTGTGCACCCTTGTATGTGCATTGTGCTCCTAAGTGACTTTCCAGCTCCGGATACATCCCTCACAGGAAGTTCAGCTCTGTCAGCATGAGTTCTCTCTGGACAACACTGTCCATCTTAGTGTCCACTCCAGATCACGGTTTAGCTCAGAAGAGTCTTTTTTCTTCCATGTCTGAGCTCACAAAGGCTCTTCATATGTGGGCTTCTGTAGTAAAGTGTCACATGACTTTGGCTCAGCGTACACCACACTGACGGGCCGGGGGCCGTTGGCATGCAGGGCCGGAGTGCAGTAGCCGTTGGACAGCACCCTGTGTGAGGGGCAGTCGTACTGAGAGCGGCAGGGGGACGTCCTGGTGCTGGGTGCTGGTGTGAGAGGTGTGTGTGTATGGCTGTGAGCCAGAAGGCTGCACTCGGTGATCTGCTCACTGAACGGGGTGGCGTACTCTGGCTCTGGGGGAAGGGGCTCGGTGTACTCCGGCAGGTTGACAGGAGTGTCATAATGGTTGAAGGCGAAGGGCGTGGTGTAGCCTTCGTCTGAGGAGGGTCTGAATGTAGACCCGATCTTCAGTCCAATAGCAGCAACAGCAGGCTCTGCATAGTCTGGATGGATATAAAAGGATATTTTAATTTCTATTAATTTGGGATGCGACAAACATTGTCATGGGGAACATCAGAAACATAAAAAACGGTATCAGTGTATATTGGAGAGCTGTGGATGTTGTTACTGTTGGACAGAACTTAGCTAGCTGTTAGCCCCTGTTTCCATTCTTTGAGCTAAGCTAAGCTACTGGCTGCATCCTTGTGTGAATATAAAACAGGAAGATATTAGAGTGGAATCAATAGTCTTATCTAACTGTACATAAAAGCTAAAGTTTGTCTAAATCACTGAAATGGAGACAAATGTATCCAATATTTTAATCTTTGTTTTATACATTTTTTACTTCGTAGCAATATTTACTTAAAGGTGGGGCAGGTAATTTTGGAGAAACCAGCTCGAGTGCGCTAGAATTTGAAAATACACAGCTGGAAAAAATCTGCCACTTCCTTACAGAGCCCCTCCTCCAACACACACGAACGCGCACATGACCAATGAGGGCACGAGATAAGTTTGTGCACAGATGGAAGGCTGACAGGCAGGTAGGCCATCCAGTTATTTTAGCCGGGCTAGCTAAAATGATTGGTCGTGCTTTTTACAGCGCTACGGCTTCTACAGATGACATTTTTGTATGGATTTTTTGTCAAAGCACTTCAGATATTCATTGCTATCGGGATGTTAAGAGCATTCCATGGAATATAACAAAAAGTGTATCTCGAGCCGGTTTCTCAAACTTACCTACCCCACCTTTAACTCAAGAGGTTTTTATTTAGGCAACTAAAGTGTTATTCTTATTTTGTATACCCCTGTAAACAAGGCACTACTGGGATACAGATGTTATTTTAATTGAGCTTCCCTTGTAAAAGTAAATACATATTCAATTCATCAATTTCTCTTAATATAATAAATTAACCAGGATTAAAGTATGATCTTTAAAACCATTTGATTACCTTTTGAAAATACTGAGATTAAACTCCTAACTGAAGGTTTTACTACTTCTCCCAAACCTCAGGAAAGTAAATAAGTAAACCATAAGATTGAAGGTTTTTCAATGTATGCCTTTTTCAATGTGTGCCTCAATAATTAACGTCAACACATTTCAAACTGGCATTTCTTTATCTTCAAGACTCCAATAGAAAATGCATATCAGCCAATACAGGCAGGAAATATCAGTAATCACAACATATTGGAGAACCCCCACTTATACTTCATTACATGGGTTTGAAAACTCACTTTGTCACATAGCAGAATTCTGTCTTGATGGGAAAAACGTTTGAATGAATTGCTTATTTGCATATTACGCCGCACTTCCTGGGAAATGCTACTCTTCTTCTCAGTGGCAGTCCCACTCTTGGCCAGTTTTGCACCCCTGTCTGAGCTACTTGGCCACCGACAATGTGTCCTCTAATCACGGGGACGGGGGCCGACAGTGTGACCAGACCCTGCTCTCCGCCCCGGGCTTAGGGGCTATGGTGTGGGAGGCCTAGACCCCTACTCAAGAGCCCAGGGAGCCTCAGAGCTGAAGCTATTTTAATGAGGCGGGCCTCAGTGAGGGCTTTGATTGTCTTAGCTTTGACCCTGTGTCCTGTTTATCGCCGGACCTCTCAGTGAAGTGCCCCCTCGCTGGGGGAGGGGATGNGTCAGAGAATCATGTGTTTAATCATATAAGTGACTCGTGTAAATATTATACCGATGATCAATTTAATGACAATGTTGGACTTGAAAATACATTTTCTTTAATACTAAAGAAAATGTATTTTCAAGTCCAACATTGTCATTAAATTGATCATCGGTATAATATTTACACGAGTCACTTATATGATTAAACACATGATTCTCTGACTCGACATCATAATCAAAATTGTACATGTTATACTCTGTGTTGTCAAATCTGGAAAAGATTCCGTATTTGTAAACCATGTATACGCATTAACAGATAATAATTGGAGTTTATTATTTCTGCTTTATCAATCTATGACCCAATTTGTATAATATATTTATTGGGCATTTCTTATATGCCAATTTAAAATGCTACTATTTTTATTTGACAGGGAGTGCAGTAAAATTCAGGTTAGTGACCATATTCTAGAAAAGTTAGTGAAATAATTTCAGGAAAAAAAAAGAAAAAGTTTGAGAAACACTGCGCTAGTGGTTTGTCAAAGAAAAAAATGTCTATGCTAACATTATTATTAATAATAATTAAAAAATAATTATTATAAAAAAAAGTAATCAATTTTTTTTACCATTTTTATTTTGTAATCATCTCGCGACCCCCACTCGGGGTCTCGCAACCCCCTGGGGGGTCGCGACCCCCACTTTGAGAACCCCTGGTCTAATGGATAGTGAGGTGGGCTGAAGATCGGAAGGTTGTGAGTTCAAATCCAGCCTGGAACACCACTGGTGTGCCCTTGAGTAAGGCACTTAGCCCTTAGTTTCTCCAGGCAGAATGTCCCTGTAATCGGTAATTGTAAGTCGCTTTGGACAAAAGCGTCAGCTAAATGAAATGTAATTTAGTAGTTGATAGTAAATGTTTTATAAGAGTAAACTTTTAGTTTATCGTGTAAAATGTACCCAAGTATGTGAGCTTAAAATATATAATAAATATTACATCATGGTTACTTGACTCCCTGTATGATATGACAGTACCTTAAATGTTAAACAATAAAGAGGCTCACAAAAATGTCTTGCAAGGTGTGAACAATGACAAACAGACAAGTTAAATGTTCGGCAGCCTCCCTTGAGATAGCATGTTTTATTCAATTCTTGCAGTGTCCAGACACATTGCAATGGCGAGAGAAACAATCCAATCAGTGAAAAACACATGATATACACAGTTCAACATAGGACCCTAAAGCATTAAAGAGTCATGAGTTCCATTTAAGAAATGTCTAAGACATGAGATATTATTCTAGTGAAACATTAAAAGTATTTTTTATTGTGGCAAAATCACATTGAAGCTGTAGCACTACGGCAAAAATATTTCTTTAGCAGGACATAATTGTGTTATTTTAAAAATGATTCTTCAATGAGACTTAATTTAGAAAAGGAACATAATCAAAATATTGAGAGTATAAAAATGCACTATATGAACCGGAAGCTGTACATAACACAATTCTTTTGACAAACTGTCTAAACATTCAAACATAGTATCTCTACTAGGCATCTAATTTGCTTCAAAATATGAACTTACGCAATTTGAAAACAAAACAAACAAGAGGAAAACTTAAAAAGAAAAAAATTCCAAACCGAGTTTCACAACTCAAGTCACCAAGAAATAAACTCACACCACACTTATTATTTCACGCTTTAAAAAACTGAAACAAATCATTTAAAAAGCTAATCAAAACACTTTGTTTTTACTAGGGATCGACCAATATGGCTTTTTCAAGGCCGATAGCGATACCGATTATTAGTAATCAAGGAGACCAATAACCGATATTTGGAACCGATATACATTTGCAGTAAAATCTGAAAATCTTGGTGTCAAAATGTAGAATAACACAACTTCTTTGAAATACCTTTTTATGGTTAATGAACTTTTCAACATCTTAAAACTGGTTTCCTCTCTGTGACCCTGAGTAAAGTAAATGAAGTAAAAATAAAATAAAAACTACTAAAACTTGTTCTGAACTTCTGATATTTGAGTCTCACTCATTTAGTATTCCCAATTCAGCAGCACCAGATTGTGGTGCAGAAAGCAGAGTTGCTGCGAGGCTCCACTAGCAGTCGTCCCAGCGCTCAGTTTCTCCACTCAGTTTCTCCGCTGCGAGACGCTACCTGCCCCGCCCGGTCCCTTTGTAACTGGGAAACTGATAGAATTGGATAAGATCGTGGTGTTTTTGCAACTTCAGCATAGGGGATTGGGATGTTTATTGAACTTCGGCTTTCAACTGATTTACCTTCGAAACAACGCTCACTGCTGCTGCTTGCCTCTGTCTGTGTCTGCGTTCTTCGCACCTGCCTGTAATCTGAGAAGGTCACGCCTCTGGCTGGCTGCAGCCCGGAAAATCTTTAGTGTTGATTGGCACTTCAGTAATAGCCTATCAGATAGCGCTGTGGGCGGGACATTGCTCGTGAACTGTGGTGACTAGCCAGAGAAACGGCCACATCAGAGCCAAAGTTGTATCGGCAATTTGATAAAAAAAAAAGGCCGATACCGATAATCTGTAAAAATGCGGAATATTGGCCTCGATAATCGGCCAGGCCGATAATCAGTCGACCCCTAGTTCATATAAACTAATAATAAACTATGTTTTCTGGCAAAGGGAGTAGTAAATGTTTTTAACAACATTTGGTTAGTCAATTTACAAGATGCATCCGTCCAAAATGTCAACAGTTCTTAATCAAACTCAACTTAAAATCCAAATCTTGCTAAAACGTCATTCTCAAAATCATTCCAAACTCATCTGAAACCATCAGAACTCCTATGTTAAAAGAGAAAAAGCACAATTCTTGACTAAAATCTTCAAAAACCATAGACTTTACAGGGTCCCCACGTCTCAATTATCTTTTTGCACTTGGGGTTTCAGGATTTTCCTCGGGGTGACTTTTCAGGTGAGCTTGTAAGGTTCGCTCACGGCCGAAGCTCTTCCCACAGGTTGGACAGGAGAGGCGGCCCACGGCGTGAGCTCGGGACATGTGGGCGTCCAGCTGATCGGGACGGGCAAAGCTCTCTTCACATTCTTCGCAGGGATGGGCCTTCCGGGGAGCGTGTTTCTCCTTCTTGTGAGCACGGAGCTGAATTAAGCTGGGGAATGCCTGGTCACACTCAGGACAGGGGTGCTGACGGGCTGCAGGAGCAGCCTCTGCTTTAACTTTCTTCTCCTTTGCTGGAGCATCACTGTCATCCTCAGGACTCTTCGAATCTTCAGTTTCTGGTTTTGCTGCCACCTTAGGAGGACGGCCACGCTTTGCTCCAGCTGCCTTTCCTTTTTCTTCAGCTGGAGCTGCTGCTGCTGCTGCCTCTGAAGTGCTGCTAGCCTTCTCTTCCTCCTCGGGCGCTTCAGGCTCATCCTTCTTCTTACGCTTTCCCTTCTTATCAGCAGCTGCTGCCGCGTCTTCAGCTTTGGTAGGCCGTCCGCGTTTCTTGACAGATGAAGTGCTGCCGTTGCATTGCTGGCCTTCAGGGTATTTCTCCTGGTGTGCTATCAGCTCTGGTTCTGTTTCAAAGCCTTGACTACACTTCTTACAGCGATGGGTCTTCGCAGCATCCTCTGGCTGTTCTGCGGTCTCTACGTCAGGGCGGGGATGCTGGGTAATGCGATGAGTACGCAACAGTCCTGCACTCCTGAAGGTTTCATTGCAATCCTTACAAACCAACTGTTTCTCTGGACACACCTGTCGTCTATGGGCTGTGAGCTGTTATGTGACGGGTAAAAAAAATACAAAAAACATTTAGTAAGAAATAGTGTATTTTAGTTTCAATACAGCCAGGGAAAATTACTTTTAAGCATGGCACTCACTTCAGAGAATGTTTTAAAGCTCTCCTTGCAGTGCACGCATTTGAAGGGCTTATCGTCCTTGCTGTGTGTTGGCTGGTGCTGTGTCAGCTCTTCAGATGAAGGAAAAGTGCGATCACACACATAGCAAGTGAACAATGTGTTTCCCTGTGAAGAGATACAAAAAAAGAGGGGCCAAAGTTAACATAGGTTTGGCTAAATTGGTGAAATGTTCAGCCCAAGTTCTTCAGAATCAAGTGATGTGCAGAAGCGTGTTTTTGGGCTATTGACCATTAACATGTATTAATTGTATGAACTTTATAAACAGTGTGCATTATCCCAAATACATAACGTGAGGCTTACCTACATACTGTACATTTCAAGCGTAACTTGAAACACACAAGTGAATGTACTTTGGCACTATAGTTTTTTAGCATTACAATGCCATTACATTTTGACTAATGTTACATTTAACGTAATGGGGGGAACTGTGTACCCAAGAAACCTGTTACATTCATAATTTGAGGAGAGTAAAGGAACAGGCACTGCAAAATAAAAGTCATACAACTCAGTGTCACAAAGTAGAGTTGGAAAAAGACTTCCCTTACAAAATAGCAGTCAGAAACACCAATTTAAACTATGTTTATTTATGCACATTGTCAAATTCAAAAGTTCTAAAAAGACCCAAACGGTTAAGCTTTGTAGTTATTATATGAACTGATAATGTCAAGCTTACCTGCTGAAGCTGTTGCTTATACTCTTCCCGATGGCTCTTTTTCATATGCCTCTCCTTGGCTTTGGCACTGCAGAAGGTGATGAAGCACTGGAAACACTGCAGGTTCTCATGCTGGTCTGAAAGGACATGAGCAAATTAGATAGACCAAGCAAAGAAAATCCAAACTAAGTTATGACCATCGAAACACTTACAAGGTTGGATGGTGGTCGTTGGAGGTCCCTTAAAATTGATTGGTTTGTATGGTGCGGCTGGCTTTGCAGGGGGAACTTCGGGAGGTGGATCCGGCAATGCCCGTCCCATCACTATATCCTCTATGTTCAAAATATCCGAGTCCATCCTGGTAAATTGGGTGGTCTCGACCCTCACTCAAAACAGCTTGCTTAAAGAAGGCAAAAACAACGACAAATGTACGTGAGGTTACATGACGTGGAAATAAAAGCGGGAACATATAACACGGTTCGATCAAACGTAACCCCACATTTCGTTGATTGCGTTCATATACAGTTAAATTCAACAGACGACAGTGAACAAATACATTCCACGATAAATTCATCTTTGATTCATATAAAACAAAAATACATCGAAACCACAACGTTTATTGCCCCAAGTGTATTTCACCTGTTTGTCTAGTATTAGCAAACACCCAAGTTTCGGCTCACGCTAGGTAACTGCTCTTAGGGCCGCTAGCTAGGCTAACTAGCACAATTGCAGGTCATCCGGCCTCTGGTTAACTGCCTTAACGTGAACTTATTGTAAGCGGTAACCATAAACACAACTGATAACCGCTTAAGTGTTTAGCATGTGCAGGTAGCTAACGCTAATCATAAAGTACTGGGCTACCGAGCGGGCTAACGCCAGATAGCATGCTAGCTACTAGTTAGCGCTAACAACACTGGCTGCCATTCAAAGAGAATCGAGGACTTTTCGTGCCTTTTCACGTATCAAGTTTTAACTCATTGTTTTGCGGCTACATGCCCCTGTCGTGTAACCATATATCGCATGTTTGTATAGCCATAAAACCAAGCATTTAAAAAACCAAATGTAACATTTAGTAGACGTTACCTCTAGCCGCTCTTTGGAAGGTAGTTTGACTGAATAAGAGTTGACCCTATAGAAATACAACGAATAGATCGGACACTTCCTGGTGGATGTGATAGCCGTTGGTACAGCTAAGATGGCGGCCGTGGAGTGTTCGTTACATTATTGATAACATTTAAACAAAATATCAACAAATACAAATATAATATAAAATGAACTAGGAACGTTATGCATTATGCACTTTGCATTTTGTGCCTGAAGAAACACAAACATGTTCATGGACACGGTGAACATTACTTTAATACATTATAATAGCACCATAACAAACATTTCAAAATGTGACCGTACATTTAATACACTTAATTAACTAATACCATCATCTAAAATACGAAATGGGACAGATACAGTTATTTGTTTACGATCATGGATTTGAATTTATCTCGTTTTCTATTCAATCTGATTCTATGTTTGGTCTATGTCACGTGACCCAAAACAACTTAGTGAAAAGTACTCATTACATTTTCTGTCGATGCTTTGTTAACCTCCTCTATAATAACATAGTGCCAACAAGCTTACACACAAAGGTATATGTTGTAGCTTATTTGTGTGTGTAATGTTATCTAAAATAATATATGTAGAATTTTTTTTGACTTATATCTGCAGCATAACACAACTCTGTATAGGAGTTTTTGTATTAAATGTACAACTATTTCACTTTTACAATTATCTTCATGAAATTCACCACTATTAAACATTATCAATACCTATTGGAGTGCAATTTCAATGCATAAATACATCGAATTTCTTCCAACACATTTTGACATGTCAAAGTAGAAAAAATAACACCAAAATGCAATACAATAAAGATGGCTCAAAATATGTTGGCAGTCTTCAAGAAAAGGCAAGATGTATCTTTTCATCTTTCTTTTATTGTATCCTTCATTTCAAATAAATAACATTTTAATTCAGAGCCAAAAACAAGCCCATTTAAGGATGTAAATTCATGTTAGGTCAGGTTAAGATAAATATTTAGAAAAATAACTTACTGTAATGCCAAAATCATACTTTGTGCTTATTTGCAGCACCAATTGTATGGCTATGCATATTTAATTTAATTTCCTTCTGAAGGCAAATTCAGTTTGACACTACAAATATAACGCCACATCACAAAGCATTTGTTTTTAAATTGCAGCACAAATTATGCTTCCAAACATTGCCCAGTGAAAGGCATCATGGGAAAGTTGTAAGGACAGAGGAAATAATACAACTTTTTTGGAACTGGAATGTAGTACACCAAAAGCACAGCTACATTCTAAATCAGGAAGCGTAATGTCAATGGGTGAATTTTGCAGTTGATGCTACTCTTTTCCCAAACTTCCTTGATTGTGGAAATTCAAAAAGCAGTTGTGGTTGCGTGAGATACAAAGAAAAACACAGCACTTAAGGCATAGCACTCGAGATGTTCTCTGACAATCTCCATAGCGGCACCTGCCTCCTTCTCCCTCCCCAAGCTGCTCTGGCCAGTGTCCTGAACCGTCGAACCGCGTGGCTGCATCTGGCAGAGGACTCTCCTCCACCAGGCTGGGATTGGGCTTTTCATTTGTTGTATGAGGTTTTTCTCTGGGGGTCTGAGGGAGGACTGAGTCCTGGGCATCACAGCCATTCGAGAGGATCAAAGATTTGGACACCTCCAATCTGAAGGCCATTAGAGTCAAAGGTGCAGACACTGCCTTGTGATCCTGTCTGTAGAGGAGCCAGGAGTTGACCAAAGCCAGATCTGTTAAGTACCAGAGCACCGCTTGAGGCCAGCAGGTTGGGGCCGAGGCAGTGAGAGGAATTGAGTAAAGATTCTGCAAATCTCTGTTGACTTGAGCCGACATCTGGGCCTTCTCAAAATTGTCCATCAATGAGGCCATGTTCCTCTGGTTATTGCCCGCTGTAGAAAGTATAAAGCCACAGTGTGATCTGCGTAACATTAGCTTCCCATCTGAGCTTACAAACTCATCTCCGATCTGTCCTCTGGCTCCTCCAACCCTTCCGGCACCATGAACGCCGGCAATTAACAGACGCTCCAGCATTGCAGGGGTGGACAGTTCCTGTTTGCAAAGAAACACCATACTACCTTTGGGGACCATTTTATCTACTGCATCTTGTTTGCTGGACTGACCCAACTTAAGATCCACATGTAAGAGCAAACCTCCAAATCCAACTAATGTAGTACAGTAAAGAGACAGCTTCTTGTTGTGCATTTTCCCAGTCAAAGGTAGAGGATATTGGTCAACTGCATAATCACCCTCTTGTCTGAGAGACTGGCACCCTGCTTTGAAACGGCACAATAATGGCTGAGCCTTCCACAGGGGATCAGTCTGTGTTTGTGAGCTGCTCAGCTCATTTAGCGTGTCTCGCTGGCCAATTTCACTTTGCCTGCTAGATTGGGGTTGACCTTGCTGAGCATTTTGAAAGTCACTATCACATCTTCCTTCCTGAACATTACTGTTGACTGGATCCTTCGCAGGACATGCAAGCTTCAACATGCGAGACAGCTCGAGGAAACGGGAAAGCGGCATGGAGTCAGCAACCAAGGGCACCTTAGTCAAGTTCTCCCAGTAGAGCCTAGGACTGGGAAACTGAAAAATAGTTAAGTTATATAGTTAGAATGAATGAACACATTTAATTCACAAAATGCAGCACAAAACAAGTTTAAAAACACAGATTAAAAAAACATAGACTTAAACAAATAGAAAATGAGAGCATTTGTGTTTCTGTAATCTAAACATTTGAATTATACAGATACAAAGACAGACAGCTGCTATTACTGGGCTGTATTTTAAAAAAACAGATGAGTTTTGTGGTTTTTTTCAAACTGTTCACTAAGTCAGCAAGACTAAAACAGATAGGTTCCATATTTTGTGGAGTGGTGCCTAAGCAGCATTGCCAAACTGAGCATCTGTGGAGGATCTTAGTGTTTGGGGACAATCCTGGGCAAGGCAATTAAGTGCCTTAAACACTAAGGACTCAAACTAAATTCTAAAAGATACATGCAGCCAGTGTAGGTTGCATAAAACAAGAGTTATAAGAGCTCTCATTTTACTTTGGGTTAAAAACCTGTCAGCAGCATTCCAAATAGTGTGTAGTTCTGAAATGGCTGCTTTCAGTTGACCAGTATTACGCATTACAGTGGTTAAAACAACTAAAAACAAAAGGCATTTATTTTCAGCATCACGCTATATTTTTCAATTATCAAAGGGAGCTTTGGTCCACACATTTAAATGAGTTTCAACATTAAGGTTGCAATTTAAAATGACACGAGACAAATACACTTTCAAAAAACGGAGCACTAACCTTCAAAGTTCCCATTGCAATGTGGATCCCAACAAACTGTGCAACCTCTCTGGATGTGACAGGTCTGGGCATGTTGGATATTTTATTTGTGCAATTAGCCATTTCTACCCAGGTATCCCAACCAAAATACTTGGAGAAGTAGTCAATGGGCTCTGTGGTTCTGGTTTCCTCTCTTGGTGCTTGGATCTGGCCTGATGTAGTTGGCATGCTAAAAGATAAAAAAGAAAACAAAAACATTTTAGACATAATGTTCTCCCTAAAGCTTGAGTTTTCATTTTGAGTTACAATAATATAACACAATAAACATCATTACTGAACAGTATGACAATATTTAATCTAAATAAAAAGTAGAAAAACGCAGTTATCTGTGAAGGTGAGAAGAAGGAAAGATCTACTGTACTTTTGTGATAATTCATCACTGCCGGCCTGCTGTGCACTGTTTGTTTGGTTTCTGTAGAAGTAAGCCATTACTTCTGCTTCTGAGTCAAGCTGAGGATCAGACATCTCAAAAACACCCACATCCTCCTCATCTGAACTCTGGAGGAGAAAGTCCCGGAGGTCAGGTGGATGCTGCATCTCAGCTTCTGCCTCAGCTGTAGGATCAGATCATATACAAACAAATTATTAAAAGTATAATCTTTATATTTAATAATTAGCCTACAAATGTTAGCATTTTCTAAGTAGCCACACGTACAGGGACTATTCTAAAAGAAAACATACCTTGTCTATCTGCAGAGTCACTGACCCCTGGTTCTGACAGTTTTCTAACTCTCACCTCCTCGTAGCCTGGTGCAGAATGGCAGCCTTCATCTGTTGTTAACATATTCAACATTAAAATAATTGTATAATCTTTGTTAAATATCACTGGGAAAAGGCAACAACTCACTTGAATGATCTATTACATGTTTTTCTGTTAGCTGGGCATCACAGAATGCCCCCGTTGTTGAATTCCCACTGTTGTTCTGAGCCCCCAGTAAAAATTCCCTCTCCTCTTCCTTTACAGGGTAGAAGATGCACTGGTTGGTGTTGAACTCAGGGGGGGTGACGCAACTCTCGTCCATGGCTGTCTCCTCACTCTCAATTACTGAAAGCAAAAAACATACATTTATGAAAAGGAAAAAATCAAGGCATAGGCTTATGTACTACCTTGAAAAGGTAGAGCTCGCAGGTGAAAAAAAGCTCATGTTTAGGTACAACACATCTCTTCTTTTTGGATAAGTTGTATTTTGGTACATTGTCCCTGACGAACGTAATAGACTTAATTAATCTGACTTAATTGAATTGCTTTCTGGCGAAAGCTCAATACCCACACATGGGTGGTATCGATTTATTATTATCTATCTTCCAGGAAGAAATCAAATAATATCATTTACCTGAATGCTGAACTAGCACAATTGTGCTAGTAATGTACCAAAAGTGCTGTTAGTACTTACATGGACTGGACATGTTTTCCGTGTTGACTGGCTCCACATTCCATCGGATGTGTCTGCCGCTGGCCTGGGTCTCATTCAGCATGAGGCTGCTCTCCTCCTTCACCAGCACGGTCCTTATATCACTATGGTGCTGCAAAGTCACACTTGCACTCAGTCTGTTTTGACAGATGGGTGCAATCAGTGGACGATCTGGGATATTCTCTTCAACCTTGATCTGCTGGCTCTCCAGGTCTTCATTCTCAGCAATGTTGTCAAAACCCTAAAACCAAAACCAAAGTTTTAAGTTTACAATGTTCAATTTATGATCGTGATCATCAACGTATGGTATTTGTTGGTACAATTGACCTCTCACCTGTCTCTGATGGTTCCGCTCTGTCACCAGGCCCGGCTCCTTGTCAGCAGTTGATTCTTGTGTGGAGGTGAGGAACTTCTCAAGTATGATGACTGGAGACTGGTTAGCATCCCTGTTGTGTTCCTCTCCTTCCTGCAATCGTCTTACACCCTTTACCTGGTCAGTACTGGTGACCGACTCCAACACAACTGGTTCTTCAGGAGGTTTCTCTAATGTAGAGGGAATGGTAGACAAAGATGCAGCTGGAGCTGTGGCTTTGTTGGCCTCAAATTCTGTGCTGATCTCTGGCTCTAATGTCTTTGTGCTGGGCTGGCCGTCATCATGTATTTCTGAAGCAGAGCTGATGGGACGTTTTTCATAAAGTAGCTGACATTCCTCCTGTTCTTTTTCTGACTCTGTTCCTCTGGTGGTATCTCCAACTAAAGCTCTCTTTGAAATCACATCCCGTTTTAAACGTCCTGTTTCTCTTCTCCTACCCCTTGTAGCATTTCTTGAAATAGCTCTTTTTCCTCCTTTTTTCTTCTGTACTAGCAGTTCTTCCTCCTCTTCCTTGATCTCCACTTGATGAGTGGAACATGACACGGTTTGTGAAGTTAGACTTCTTCCAGCTGTTGCTTCATTGTTAACTTGCCCAGAAAGTTTGTTGATGCTTCCATCCTCAGGATTGCAGGTTACACTTGATTCATTTTGAGGAACAGAGTCTTCTTGAGAGGTTGTTTCAACTCTGTCATTCTGCTCCCCAACAGTGACTAAATCTACATCAAGAAGTAAATTCTCCTTTATGTCCTCATCGGTGGTACCCTGGACTTCAGATTCTGTGCTGGGATTCCTCAGGGAAGCTTCTTTTTGCTTGTTCTCGTCTGATGCCAAAGGCTCACCGAACTCTAAACTCTTTGTCTGAGCAGAGGTACCTAATGGGGGTTCGGACGGTAGGATTGGATGCATTCCACTGGTTTTCATTTGATCGGCTGGTAAGTGAACTTCTTGAGAGGTACAGGACTGTTTATCTGCAGCCTTATTTTCATTTCCATCATTTTCATTTTCAATGACTTCAACATCGGAAGGAGGGACAAGAAAAGATGGGGATGGAATCAAAGCTGGAAAAGAGACACTTCGCTCTTTCTCATCTAATGCCATCTCTACAATCTCAGGCTCAGTATCCCAGTCTGCAGCAGCATTCATCACCCCGACAACCTTATTGGGCTGTTTTGGAAGCTGGTAAAGATCCAACGTGGAGACGCCTTCAAAGATGTTTCCATGTGTGTAAGTGAGACCGGGACTCTCTACGATATGCACCATTGCCTTGTGCTTCTGAAGGGACGAGACTTCACTAAATCTTTGCCCACAGTCCTTACACTCTAAGGCACGCTTAGAATTAGAAGTTATCACTCCTTCAGTCTCCACTCCTGAGGAGGCTTTACGTTTCCTTGTTGTCTTTGGCTTGGCAGGCAGTGTCTTGGGAGTTTGACGGGAAGCCTGCAGCGAGGACAACAATGAGAGAGTTTTCTGGTTCTTTTTAGTTCTTCCTCCTTTTTTCTTATCCCCCGTATTTGTACACTCACTTGTTGAATGTTTACAGTTTATCTCTTTACTCTTTTGGGATATTGTGCTGCCCTCAACAGGTGAAGCTTCCTGTGTCTGGCCTGGTGCCTTTGAAGGGTCTAATTTGTAAACCTTAAGTCGAGGCTGTTTATGACCCTTCAGTAGAAGTAGAGTTTCCTGTGTTATATGTGTTCCAGATATGTCTGTTGAAGCTGCGCTCTCTTTTGTTTCGACTTTTTCCTCTTCTGAAAGGTTTTTCTTTTTCTTTCCACCCTTTGATTTCTTGGTCTGATCTTTTTGCATTATATTGGTTTGTTTTTTCTTTTTAAATACAGGCGATGCTAAAGTGTTATGCTTACTAATGAGTGTCACACCTTCCCTGGTCACTTTTTTTTGCTTTTTTGTTTTGTTTTTTCTTGTCTCCTCTTTGACTTGCTGGACTTGTGAATCCTGGGTTGATGAAGGAGAATTTTTTTCAGCGTTAGAAACAAAATGTTTGTTTTTCTTATCCTTTTTGCCCTTTTTTCCCTTCTTCTGTGGTGAAACCTTCTTCTTTGAGAGAATTGTTGCTGGTATTTTATCTATCATCTCGTCTTCTTGTATTGGCTGATGCTGCTGTGATGGCTTTTTCTGTTTCTTGTTGTTCTTTTCTTTGCTTTGAGGGCTACATTTAACTACAAGATGAGACTTTTTCTTTCTTTGCCGTTTGGAAGGTGTAGCATCAATTTGAAAATCATCCTTGTATATTGATCCGCCTAGTTCATGCATACATCCTTGTAAGATAAACGCTTTGTTTGAATTTCTCTTCCGCACTTTCACAAGTTCTTGAGCTGACATTACATTTACGGGTAACTCGGACACCTGTGGGACTTGCTTGGTCTCTAAGTTGGATGGAAACACGTCTTTAGCAGGTGGATCCTCTACTTCAGACTCCTCACCGTTCTTCCCTTCTACCGGCAGCTTCTCAGATGGTTCTCGTTCAGATTGATCTTGTTCAGCTTTTTCTTGTGTCTCTTGTGGTGCAGCTCCATCCATCACAGGGTGTTCCTGATCTAGACTTACTGTTTGCATTTGTGAATCAACCACTTCAGCTCCACTTGTGTGTGTGAGTGTGTCTGATGGTACAAAAAAGGGAAGGCCCTGCTGCTCTGTTTGTAAAGGTGTCAGCTCCAGCCCAGTCGCAAGAGTTGTGGCTGACATGTTGGTTTGTTCATCTATCACAGTCTGATATGCCATCTGCTGCAGGTCAGCGTTTACCAGAGAGGATGATGGGATTTCATTTTGTGACACGGTTTGTGGTAGTTCAAGCTCTTCAGTTGGTATAAGTTCTAATATTACTGTTTGCTCAAGGTCTTGATCTACTCCATTCAGAAACATTGTTTGATCAAACTGAATTGCACTATTATCAGGCTGTTGAAGGATCTGATGCATCCCCTCTCCCTCAGGTCTTTCTGTTTGTTCAGTCTGAGTCTGCTCTATATTTTCCCCTATTGTTAGGTTGGAACCTAGTTCTGAGAAATCAGGGTTTTCCAGTTGTCCTTCTGGCGTAATAGGTTCAAGTATAATTGTTTGATCCAGTGCAAAACATGGGTTTAAAGGTTCCATTTCAACTATGTTAGATCCTGTCGGTTTCAGTTCCATAAAATCTGTCTGTGGTAGTTGTGACATCTGATGGACTTCCAGCGGTGCAGCATGAGGTGGCAGCTGCCCCAATATGACAACTTGGTTTACTCTCTGCACATTTCCCAAAGATTCAATAAGTCTGCGAATCTGCTCTGTGTCAATATTGGCATCAACTTTTTGCAGAGGTCCATTGGGGCCTGCCTGTAGTAGTGATGACTGGCAAATAGATATTGGAGTTATGATGGGTGTATTATGTTTCCCTTGATGCTCAGCTGAGAGGGCCTTACTTGCTGTAGCAGGCACCATGTTGTGCTTGGTTTTCATGTGATATTGCCGTGTCCTGGTAGACTTGAAAGTGGCCTTGCATAAAGAACAAGGATACTTTATTGAAGAAGGCCCTAGAGACAATAAAAAGACAGTTATTATGGTATAAACTAAATAACACAAAAACATTTTGTAAAAATAAAAACATTTATTACATACTTCACTGTACTAATCTAAACCTGTACATAGGCAAGTGTTGCTTTCAACAAAATGCTATATTCGGCATATAAATGAAATGTTTGCCATGTTCGTTCTATTAGTTAAGCATGTTCGCATGCCAGTATTTGCTTATTAGCCCCAAATGCTGAGGCTTATTGAAATGTTTTTACTTTTGCAGTAACCAGTCATTATTCAAAATATTGGACAAATTAAATGTTGATGTCATGATGGCACTACATGACAAGATGAAGGATAAAGATATTAATTACAATCCATATTAAGAGCCAGGTTGCTAGCATTAAGTTAGCATGTGTAAAATGTTAAGACCTCCATTTATTCTTACCAATAGCTTTTTTCAGGGCGTCAGCTGTTGGGTCTCCACCCTCTCCTTGACATTGTGCCGTCATATGTTTCTGCAGAGCTTTGGACATGCTGAACCTTTTTCCACACTCCTTACAAACATACGGCCTCTCTCCAGAGTGTTTGCGCATGTGATACTTCAAAGCTGTCATCGTTTTGCAGTTTTTCCCACAGTCTGTGCATTCATAACCGTCCTGGCCATAGTGATTTTTTTTATGAAAGGTGAGCTCTGATGACTTGTTGAAGGCCTCGCTACAAATCGGACACTTGAAGGGTTTCTTCTCTGTGTGAGCTTTCTGATGGAGCATCAGATCTATGGAGTTAGTGAAGTGGCGGTCACAAACGTAACAGGCGAAAAGGGAGTTCCTCAGTATGCACTGTTCATATTCTGCAGGGTGGCTCAGCTTCAGGTGACGCTCCTTGCTCTTGGCATCACTGAAGATTATGTGGCACTCAAAGCACTGCAGGGACAGCTGAGACGCTAGAGGGAAACAAGACAGGAGTGGGAGAAAGTTTACATTTAAAGGTCTCCTAGTATACTGTTTTTCATCAATATATTATAGGTCTCAGATATATACAAAACATGTCTCTGAAGTGTTTGGCTTGAAAAACAGAGCACCAATTGTAGAATCCCATAATTTCTGCCCTGTTTCAAAAGTGCTGATTCTCTGTCTGTTACTTTAGATGAAAATAAGGGGCCACTCCCCACGCCCCTCTGAGAGATATTTGATTAAAAACAACACAATTAATTAATCAATTATTTTTTATATGTTATTGTAATGTAGAGAAAAGGCTTTTAGTGACAATCATGTATTGCGTTACAATTATATACAACTAGGCCTGTCGCGATAATCGATAAATTGACTTATCGTACGATAAATAAAAATGGACTCGATAACTTTTCTGAGCTCGATAAATTGCCGTTTACATGCGTGTTTGTTTACATAAGGATGTGACCAGCATTTTAGCTAGGAGC